AAAATGCTAAACAATTGTCATATCATTACTAAATCTGATAATAATTTGCACTGTTTTTGGCCTAAATGTCAATATAAAATTAATTACAAATACCTATTAGAAAGACACCAATTAATTCATTCAGAAATAAAACAATTTAAATGTGATTTAAATAATTGTAATAAAGAGTTCGCACAAAATGAAGCTTTAATTGTACACAAAAATAGCATTCATTTAAATGTGAGATTTATTTGTGATTTCAATGAATGCCACAAAAGTTTTACATCAAAACAGAATTTATTTCGACACAAAAGTTGTGTTCATTTGAATAAAAGGAAATTCAAATGTAATGAAGAAAATTGTGGCAAAAAATTCAACACAAAAAGAGAATTAATTGCACACAAAGTAATACATTCGGGAGAAAAACTATTTGATTGTGAATTCAAAAATTGTAACAAAAGTTTTAACCGAAAAAATAATTTAAAGGCACACAAACAGAGATGTCATCTAAATATCCGGAAATTCAAATGCACTTCAAGTGATTGCGACAAACCTTTTGCACAAAAATCTGAATTAATAAGTCATACAAAACGTATTCATTTAAATGATAAGCCATTTAAATGTATTGAATCTAATTGTCACAAATCATATGCAGTTAAAGCCGGGTTAGCTCGGCATTTAAGGAGGTCTCATAAAATCAAATGATATTTCAACGCTAATTATAATTGACTTTTCAAAAATGTTTTTATTATTTTTATCACTTTGTAATTTGTGGATATATTTTTTTCTCACGCATACATTCAGGGAAAAAATCATTTGTTTGTCATTTCAATAATTGTAACAAAAGATTTCGCAGAAAATTTTATCTCAAAGACATTTGAATATAACAAACACTTGGAGTGATTTGCGTCAACATATTCATAGACATCATATCAATAGTTAAACATTTTAATACAATTACCATAATTTGTACCAATAATGTGTTTATTCCAAAGATATGATTAAAAATGTTGAAAATCTTTATAAAGTTTGTTTAATAAACAATCGATGTATTTTTAATCAGTAATTATCATAACTTTGCATTGTGGTTAAAAAAATAAATTATTATTCCAACTCTTATTAAATTGAATAAATAAAAATAATTGTGATAAATCAAATGCTAAGGCAACTTTTATTTCATCATTAAATTCAACAAATAATAATTAATTAACCATCATTTAAAATATTGCATTAAAAACATTGGATATTAATCAATTACATGATATTAATCACCAAATTAAGCTTTACCCTGGTTATTAATGGAGGGACTAATAGTAACAGGTGTTGCGGTATAGTCTGTGCACTCTGTCGGGCAATTCTCGCCATAGATTGCGGCACTCATTTGGGTTATACGCAGAGTATTGAGGGTTTGTTGAGCACAGGCTAACGGGTTGTCCGATGTGTAGACGGTCTGCACGTATAGTAAGTCTCCTTTGCATCGGCCAGAGGTTATGGCACCCAAATTCAGCTCAAACATATTGCCTGTAAATATTGTATTAAGGTGAAGTATAATTAAAATTAATGTTAAAATGGTAAAGTTTCTTATTGTTTATACTAACCATTGACAGATGAAACCACCTGGTTGCAATTATCTACAATCAAATCCTCGTGTTGTCCGTTAAAGTGAGCGCTGAATGTATACGGGATTTGTCTGAAGTGAAAGCCACTGCACGACAACTCCATGGGATGGGAGACAGCATTGAGTGATAGACCAGTCAATTGGTTCACACCATTGGACACACATTTCACGCTTTTGGATACGTTTACAGTTGTGTTGACAAACGGAGTAAATGCTAACGAGCAAACAAACAAGGGCAAAATAAAATAAAATAAAATAACAAGGTTAATTAATAATAATTACCAAGCAGATATTCCAAATGATTAGGTTTGGTGGGATCTCCGGGACCAAACTCTTTCAGATCGACGTCCAATCGGCGCAAAGTTTGCTTATAATTAGGAGACAACGGGTGCTCGCAGTCTGACTGAAGTAATTGATCAAGGTCTACTTTCATAGCAGTTGGTGCGGCACCGGTAGTCCCGCTTCCAGTTTGGCAATTGTGGTTCAATGGGTTCAGGTGTTGAAAGATATCGCCAATCAAACCGCGTTTATCAACACTCGCACCGTATGCCTGAGCTGTTAGACCTAATTATAAAGTGTTAGTTTGTTAAATAAAATGGTTATGCTAAAATATTTAATATAAATATTTATGTATTATATAATATAATATAATTTATATTTCACAAACTTACATAAAACCAACGCTAATAATAAACAATTCATTTCATGTTATAAATAAAATTATATCAAGTAATAACAAATAATTTATTTATTAACAATTGATTATTCTTATTTAAAATGTTTTAAATTTTGTTAAAAATAAAATAGCATTATATTATATAATTATTATATTAATTTATATACTTTCAAATTGTATAGTAGAATGTGTACTTGATGGATTTATCAATTAATTAGCGATCATTTGTACGATCATTGATTAATAACTTTTAAATATTTTTACAGCAAAAACAGGAGCTAGTTTAATGTTACAGTATATGTTTAATTAATAAAGTTTGTTAATTATCTCATAGCTGACCAACTCCACTTCCATCAAGTTGAGAGACCTCTTTAGTATTGAAGTGCAATGTAATTTTTGACTCACCTTGGTAAATTTGACTTTTAATCAATAAAGAGTTTGTAAAATTATTGATCAGCCAGTACTCATCAGTTTTATTAAAAATAATTGTAACATGAATTTTAATTGGCCCACATGTTACATGTGGACGAATTAGAAATGAGTTAATAAAGTTAAAAATTAGTAAATTTATACTGTATTGGTTACTTTATTGAAACAGATGTATCATGGTGGATTAATGTATTTCTGATTTCAAGTCATATTTAAGTACTATTACCATATTAACAAATGCATTGATTAAACGAGACTCGGTAAAGAACTCAATTTAGTGGTCAAATTTAACCGAAAATTTTTTAATAATGATTTGATATGAAAGAGTATTTATTGAGTGGCAAAACACTGCCATTCATTTGTCTGTATGTCTTGTGGTCCAGAAGTAATCCTCTCCCGAAGAAATCCACTTCCGAAATAACTTTGGCACAATGACCATGGCATTTTTTTAAAAAGAGATAATAAAATGTCGTAAAGTGTTTTATATAAAGATTAGATAAAGAAAATAACAATTTGATAAAAATTTTAACAATTGATCCAGCCAATTTAAAAATATCATCACATCCATTTTTAAAATATATTGATTGCCATTGAATACCATTGCCAATGCTATTTCGGGAGTGGACGTCTTCGTGAGAGGATTACTTCTAAACCACAAGACATACAGACAAATGAATGACATTGTTTTGTCACTCAATAAATACTCTTTCACATCAAGTCATCATTCAAAAATTTTCGGTTAAATTTGACCACTAAATTGATTTTTACCGAGTCTCGTTTTATCAATGCAACGATTATATTAATCATATTATATAAATATCCTTGGTATTTTTGTGTGGAATCTATGCAATTAATTACATAATTATAAACATCTGTTTCCCCAAACTTGTAAAATGATAATAATTTAATTTATCGCTAAAACGTTTACAAAAACCTTTAATTAATTAGTTTTTATAACATTTTTTAATGATTGTATTTACAAATTGCCTATTTGGATAAAACAATTTGAAAAATTAGCTAGATTTTATGCAACAAAATTTTTATTTTAATGTTGAATTAATGCGAGAGAGAGAGAGAGAGAGAGAGAGAGAGAGCATGTCTTTGATTTTTATATTGTGAGAACATGATTTAAAAGTTGTAAAACAGGTATTTATTAAACAATGAGAACACATGTAGAAAGGATATGACTTTGAGTTACATTTTATTTCCTTTTCCATTAGGTTTGAGTTCACTTCAAATATTACTCTCATTTTGTTTTGTAATTCATTTGTATTTTAATTATTATTTGAAAATGTGTTCAAAATTATTGAATGTTTCGTTGATTGAAATGAAGAGTAAATTCAATGCAATTAAGAGTTTGTGTGAAATAATAGACAAAATTCAGTGTATTTTGAATACAAATAATAATGTTTTGTGTGAAGCGATTGAATGCAAAAATAATGATTATTTTTCAATCAATCAAACAATTGATTGCAATTCATGTAAAATCAGTGATAAAATGCTAAACAATTGTCATATCATTACTAAATCTGATGATTATTTGCACTGTTTTTGGCCTAAATGTCAATACAAGACACAAAGGAATGGCGATCTTAAAATACATCAATTTAGTCATTCATCAATAAAACAATTTAAATGTGATTTTAAAAATTGTAATAAATCTTTCACACATAAAGTAAATTTATTTAATCACAAAAATAGCGTTCATTTAAAAGTGAAATTTATTTGTGATTTCAATGACTGTCATAAGGTTTATACTGACAAATATAATTTACTTAATCACAAAAAATCTGTTCATTTGAATGAAAAGAGATTCAAATGTAATGAAGAAAATTGTGACAAAAAATTCTTCCAAAATTCGCATCTAATTCAACACAAACGCATTCATTCGGGAGAAAAATCATTTGTTTGTCATTACAATGATTGTAACAAAAGTTTCAAACAATCGACGACGTTATTCGCTCACAACAGGAGATGTCATTTAAATATCCGGAAATATAAATGCAATTCAAATGATTGTGAAAAACAATTTTACAATAATTTTCAATTAACAGAACACATGAATGCAATTCATTTACACATCAAACCATTCAAATGCACTCAAATTGGTTGCAATCAATCTTTTGCTGTTAAACAACGGCTATCTAAACATTTAAAATCTAAACATTAAATGCAATTATATTTATTACATTATGCCATTAATTCTTATCATTAATTTTATATTTACCTAAAAGTGAATAATGAATTAATTGTTTTTGAATGTATTATATTATCATTTATAATAAAAATAAAATGATTTGATTGATTTATTATACCTACAGTACAGTTACCACATCAATAATTGTGATATGGTACCTCAAAATCATTCAAATGAGACGAATATAATTGTCACAAATCCTATGCTATTAAAGTATAGAAATATGCAAAAAAATCACTACAATACAAAAACTAATTCAACAAAAACGCATACAAAACCAAATCTCAATCAACACATGGGAAGACATCAGAATTATCTCAACAGAAGTTGTGTTCATTTGATTGAAAAATATGTAATGAAAAAAATTATAACAAATTATTTACAACAAAACAATGACAAATGACTGCCGCACATCGTATTCAAAGTTTTCTCTCTCTCTCTCTCTCTCTCTCTCTCTCTCTCT